TGTGATTGTCTTCCGGTGCCTCATTTTCTAAACAACAATCAAACACATTTTTGGATGCATTTTGACTGATATTGTGTGTGTAATGTTAACTGATTAATACTCAGAACATCTATAGTTCTCTTGTAAATAAAAATAAAATAAATGCGAATTCAGCTGCCAGAATATTTTTTTAATATCTTTCATACAAAAAAACCCACAAAAATAAAAAAAATGTCTGATTATCCGAGGCATTTATTTGGATTTTTTTTTTTAAATTGCAAATCTCATTTAATAAACCAGTTAATTATTTAATATGTACTGGTCTTATCAATGGACCTTACCATGATTCTGTATAGCCGTACTATGTTTGTATTAAGTATATGTAATTATACCAATAGTATTTCAAATAGATGGGTAGAAAAGCCAGCTTTATTTGGAAACAGTTCTGTAGATCTATATGATAAACATAAAATCATTATGTAATATGTACAATTTCACCTTATTTTTATATATTCTGTAAAATTGTCTGCTATGATAATTTTATTTTTATTTGAATATAGGGCTCTTTTCGATCACTCAGAATTACATGTTTCCCTCTAGCTGGCCAGTATGAGTTGAGTCCTATACAATGACTTGCACTACAAATACATGTTTTATATTATTCAGATCGTGTTCATACATATACCATAAGCTACCTGACTATGTGTTTTTCACTAGGTTGATTTAATTGATAATCTACAAGCATGCTTCTAACATAGTTCCGCAAATCTGACTTTCGCATACATTTTACATTTTTGCAGTCAAGGTTTGACCTTTCTATCTGTCGAAAGCTTAAGCACTACATCGTGCTTCAATGTGGCACTCAGCTGTTTTAATCAAGTTATTTACTAAAGAGTACATCGAGGTGAGCTGACAACTAACTTGCAAAATCAAGACCAGAATACTAAGATAAAAAATCACTTACTTCGAGCTCAAAATATTTTTTGAATTAGTTTGGTTTAAATTTTCCAATTTACTCCTAAATTTGAAAGACCGTTTTCAACACACCTCAACCAATAATGTAATGAATAAACAATTAATTGCATGACTTATGCCTTTACTAATGAAAAAAATGAACTGTGTAAATTTTAGTGCTTTTGAAGTTTCACTAGGATATTCAGTTTTATATATTCTTTGTAAAGTTCAGATAAATTATTAATTTGGCTTAATCATAAATTTTTCTATAAGTTAGAACTTTATTTTACCAATTTCTGATGTTTATCTTTTAAAATACCATGTTGTGGGACTGTTTTCTATATTTTGTATTAACGAGTAAGACTGAACTAGAGTTAAGTACAAAATGTAGAAATAACAATAAAACAACATGTAAAACACAATTTACAATAACAAATTGAGAAACACATGAACCTTACGAACATTGTGATTCTAAAACGAAAAATTGTCATAGACAGGAAAAAACAGAATTTAGTTCGCACGGATCACAAGTATGTCATGTAATAAATGGTCTAGTTACTTTTGGCTGTCTGTACTCTGCAACCTTGTCATAGCAAATTAACGCAAATACTGTATCAACTCAACAATATAGTCTACAGTATTACAGTGGTATTTAAAAGCTATTGGTTGTTATGATATTCTACGTGTTGTCATACAACCTCTCCGCAGTATATATAACTTAAATTTGCAAATTTACATTTTCTTAAAACATTTGGAAAACCAAGAGATATTATCAGTATCAATTGGATGTTGCAAATACAAATTGTTGTCATTTAGATAATTTACCACCTGTACCAAGAACACTAAAAAAAATGATTTGGGACATTTTCTTCAGTTCGTTGTAATCCACTTACTGGATATTTGAAAAGTTACATTCTAAACATTGTCAGATCATTTTACTACTTACTGGAAAAGCCATTTTATCAGAAATAATTAGTTCTTTTCAAATGTCAGAAAAAAAGATCCATGATATTTATGTTTTTGGCTCACAAGATGACTTTTGAGTGTTACTCGATACTTTTGGCAAATGGTTCCTTTTGGTGTAACTGCAGAGTTTAAGAGGTAGAGAGAACAGCTACCATGGGGCTTGCAGCCATAAAACTTCTGACCATGATAGAAATATTAGGCCTCGGATCCAAGATGGAGATGATCACATCTTTTAACCTAGGAGAAAGAGAGGGAGGGCTATTATAGACATAACTTTTGACCAGGGAGGCCTGATAAATGGCCTTCTGTCTTCCACCCCTTGCTAACAAACTTGTACACTCCACCAGCCAGGCCCCTACCCAGTTTTATGTTACTGTCTAAACTACCATACACAAGGTAAAGGAAGATGTAGAAACACGTTAGGCATCTAACTGGTCAACTACTCTCTCGCATGAGTTGAGAAAGAAGGGATGCATTCCTTTGGCCTCTCCAGGCTAATAATGGGGTCTAAGAAACTCTTTATGTAAAAAAAAAAAAAAAAAAAAGGAGGTGAATCTACTGCTTTGTGACATATTGGGTTCTCATAATTCTCCACTGTGACAATGAAATTGTTATTTTATACTTTGGCACAAATGCACTCCCAGTTAGGCTACAGAAGGTAGCCTGACTGTCTTTGGCATCTAATGGTACCATTTGTCTAGTCCCACTAGTTATAGGAATTACAGTAAAAAAGGCTTTTTACACCTGGAAATATGTCTGGTAATATAGAATGAATATATACCATCTAGCAAATATGTGCTGGGCATAAATTCCCGTGAGTTCATGACTTTGACTGTTTAAAAATCCCCAAATTAGCCTTCCAATTAGTTAATTAATTAAATAAATAGAAAACATTTATTTTTTTTTGGTGGAGATTGGCTAGTCAATTTTTTTTTTCACTTCCAAGAAGAAAAGTAATTGTAGGAGAAATGTTAGTATACATTTAAAATAAAATTTTATTCAGTGCTATTTAAACATTTTTATTGTTTTTCATAGCCCACAAAAGAAAACAGAAAAAAATGATATATATGTAAATCCATGGAAATTATATATATATGGAATTACATGGGAATGTTGGAAATCCACTAACCAGCCTTTTTCACTGTATACGTAGAACAAAAAGTATAAGACTTTCCAAAGTGTCTGTGTTTTTGTACTAATGTAAATAATTATAAATATGAGTAGGAATAACTTTTAGAGTGATTTTATATTGCTTTCATTTGTATATTTGTGTTAGAGGAGTGCAGTAATTAGTCAAAAGAAATAAACATAAAAATGTGAGTATTTTATAAACTGATCTGGGGGCAGGCGCGCACACATCGCATTTTAAAATATTTTTTTTTACAAAAAGTAAATGGCTATTAATTGCTGCAGATTGTACTTTAAAACATCAACAATGGAGTGATTTAAGGACATAATTGACTTTACAAGTCATAGTACATTTATTTAGCTTCTGCTTTCCAGGAAATAGTATTCAGTGAGCTAATTAAATGTTCAGATATGATCAAAGAGAGAATCAAATAAGTAATGGTCAAATGGTTACTGTTGATATTTTAATGGTAAAACATGACATCAACATAAATTATTACTTTCTGTTAATAGGCAGACATCTTTATAACTACATTGTCACCTAAATTCTATCTCAAACACCTTTAATTAAGTGTGTGTTAAAAGGGGATCATTTTGTTATTGTAGCATGTATTGTTACAGGAATTTTGATACAATAAAATTTAAATAAAATCATATTTGGTTTTTTCAGCTATACATTTTATGGACGGCATAGAAAAAAAAATTAAATATAAAACTAGTTCAGTTGTATTTCTGTGACTGATTACTATGTATTTTAACACAATGTACGTTTGTTTTTTCGTGGTGCTGTAGTGGTAAATAAATTATTTCAGTTGTACAAACACATTTTCTTTTGTGTTTTCATACATTTATCTGCTTAACGATGGCTTATAGAGATATCCTATTATATTTGCTTATAACTATCTACCCATTAAAATATATTGTTAGAAGTAATTTACATGCTTTCATTTTCTAGGTTTTAGAAAATGAAAGTTATGTGTAGTTCTAATACTAACAGTACAGTACTAAGATGCCCACACAAGGTACAAAATGCACTATATTTGCATAAACATTTTAGTTAGTATTCTCACTTAAAATAAAATATAAAATGTATTTTAATTTAAAAAAATTGAAAAAAAAATATATTCATACAGCATGAAAAAAACTTGGAAAAAAATATTTGGTAGATATTTGATAACTTTGTATACAACCCAGAAAATTACCTATGTAAAAGCCAGGGAATTTTACAGCAACTTGAAAGAAAAACACCAAAAACCAATGCCCATCGACCTTTGATTGGGATAAAATAAATATGGAGCAAAAACATATATAAATAATTATTATTTTTCCCTTCTGCTTTTTTTTTAAATTGGAAATAACCTTATCGACACACAGACACACAAAAAAACATGTTATTATTATTTAGGTGAATCAAGCATCTACTGAGAATCTCAGGGCATTTGTGGTGCCTTGAACAGAAAATAATTTCTGATGTAAAAAAAGTGAAAGAAAGACTGATAAATCTGTTGTGTAACAGAAAAAAAAAATGTTGGGTATTCAAAAATGACAGGTAGGTTACAACAAAAAAATTACAAAAAAAAATTAAAATCATAAAGTGTTCCAAAAAAGTTTAAAAAAGAAAAACAGCAAAAAAAAAAAAAAAAGGCGCAAAGCTGTGTTCAACCCTTTAATAAACATTTCCCATAGATCACAAAAGTATAATGGTGTGGTCTGCAAGAGTGTATGTTACAAACAGATGATGGTAGGGTCATCAAATTTGGGAGTCTGTTGTGGAGAGGATATGCTTCTACTCAGTCTATAGTTTGAAATAGGTGTCAGTTCCACTCTTCAAATGTTTAGTGAATCATGCATGACCCAGGACCCTCCTCAATCATGGTTCTTGATGATTTTAGTTGCAATATCTCATTGTTAGGCTATCTTCATAGCTTGCATGACTTTTGCTGATACAGGAACAATAACTGGCCAGGTATGTAGTCAAGAACATCTTTGTGAAGGCTCGTTGTGACTTGGCAGAGCTACCAAGAAGGGACTAAAGTGGTGGAATGGATGATCTATTGGAGACACTACTGAGATTTTTAGGAACAGAGAATTTGCTGAGATTTAAATATATTTGAACTTAGGGAGTGCAATATCTGTTTAACTGGGATTCTGCATTTTAAAGGACTACATACTTTGTAACAGTATATTATTTACTTTTCATATTTATTCCATGATGCAATAAATGATTTGCCTCCGATGTCAAGCCAATGATGTCACAATATCTGAAAATGTCTGAAATTACTGTTGTTGAGATGAGATGAAAAATGATGATGCCACAATGGGCGGAATTATATTTACAAAATTATTTTACTCATTCCGTTCTTCTGTTTCATTTGAAAATAAACCACAGTAGTATAGTATGTATGTATTACTAAACATCTAGAAGCAAAAATAATAAAATAAAATGCTGTGCATTGAGGGAAGCATGTTCTATACTTTATAAGGTGCTAATTCATTACATTATATAAAGAGTGTATAATGGGTGGTTTACTCACGCCTAGTTCAGACACACTGCACACAAATAATTATTTACATATGTCATTTGGGGATGACTAACATCCACATCTTTAATTGACCACAATTTTGCCACTTTATAGTATCTATGATACCTTTATAAAAAGGTTGTTTTTTAGTTCATTTTTTTAATATATGAAATAGCACTCCGGGGTATGTAAACATTGTGGAATTTGCCTGTTATTAATTTTATTGTTTCAAGACGGACAGCATTTCAGAAAAAGACTACAAAATGGTATTGGACAATGAGGATGCCGTCTCACTTAAATAATAAAGTTACATTCTAATTTCTACTTTGTGGTTTCGGGATACAGTAAGAATCCAGTTCATGGTGTGTGATTGGAACATCCTAAGATTAAGACAAATTAATCCCAGATTCCAGTTTACTGAAAAGTGCAGACATTATGGGGCAAATAAATTACAAATGGGCACGTTTCATGGCTTTCTCCTTGGTTTTTAAAGTTCTCTAAATGTCCTCTTTAATACAAATAGAACCTAAATCAAAACATTTCTGTAACAGTGCAAGCATATCTTGCTTCCAGGAGATTATACACACGTGTCCAGAACACTCAGAGGTTACATTCAGTGTCGCAAGCCACCATTTGGCCACAGCTTCTCAACTACTAGCTCTCTATACTGTTTGATTTTTTTTCCCCCTCTAAGCGTTTGTTGCATCTTTGCAAATACCGAATAGACAGAAACTCAATATGAGTAACTATAGTCAGCAATCTAAACTATCTTGCTCTTTAGAGGATAGAAACCCATGTAATATCTGTAATCTTTATTAAACATCTGGAAACAGAAACCGTAAAATTCATATAGCAGGAAGTTCTCTGTTTTGTGTTATTGGTAAGAGAAAGTGGGTTCAGGCTGAGCTCGTAATGAAAGCTAACTGAAGGGCATTGCCTGGGGAAATAACTTAATTACTGAGGAATCACAACTAAAGAGAGATGCATTTTGCAGGGTTGATTAACAAAGACAATGATAGTGTCACAGGGGAAAACCAAAGGGTTCTTGTACTTAGCAACATGATATAATTAGCTTATTTATATCTTGCTAATAAAGGTAATATATCTACAATTTAGATACATATATAGAGAGAGATAGACAGTGAAAGAGTAGTCAGACCAGTAGACAGATAGACAGACAACTACAAACTGACAGACAAATTAATAATTAGACAGACAGATAGACAGATAGATTAGATAGATAGATAGATAGATAGATAGATAGATAGGTAGTGTGACTAATTTCATACGTGCAATGGGATTTGCCAGTCTATCAATTTTGTTTTGACTGTTTTGTCCATTTTAAGTCTGGAATTTTCTTTAGTATTAAAGCAAAAATTACATCATTCTTTTTGAGCTAAACATGGATTTTCAATATTCCGTAATGCCTTCTAGGCATGTCACTACTTATTGTCCCTGTGTTTTTTTGCCCAAGTATCATATTGAAGTCCCTATCTTTATCTCTCCCTCACTGGACTCATCATCAATATAATGTAACGGAGAACACCAATATCTTCACCGTTTGCTTTTCTCTGGGCATGGTTTTTGTAAATATATATAGGACCCATAGCTGTGAACAGTGTATTATAGAAATACAATGTCCATGTATTAGGGTTTATGTTAAGGATAAGGTTGAAGTTAGGTTTAGTATTAGAGTTATGGTTAGCATTAGGATACTGTAGGGCTCAAGTGTTAGGGTAGTGTCGGGTTTTGGGGGGGTTATTAGGTTATGCAGAATAGAGGTAAAATGTAATTGATAAGTAAGGGTGTAGGGGTTAATGGTTAACAGTAGTGTAGAGCTGTGAGTACAGATTAAGGGGAGGTCTTTACCTTTAGTGGCAGCATTGGGACATATATTTCCTATTGCTGTCTGAAATTAGTCCAAGTTCCTGTTGGTTGCCATAGCAATTACCATGATTAGTTTCAGATTGGTGGAAAGCACAATTAAATGGCACAGAAGATTTATTCATTATTCACAGCTGTGGCCATTATTTCAGCTCCTGCTAATGAGGTGAGCTGAGTAGCATGGGATTTTATATGATTCCATATGATAATGTATTTGTTCATTGTCCATGTGTATATTTAGTGTGCATTGTTTATGTACTATACGTGCAGTAATGTTCTCACAATAAAAAGTCCATGAATACAATGTTATAGATCAGTGGTGCCCAAAAAGTAGATCCCCAGATGTTTTAAAACTACAGCTTCCATGACGCTTTGTCATTTTTAAACACATGCAGAGCATCATGGGAGTTGAAGTTCTACAACATCTGGGGATCTACCTTTTGGGCACCCCTGTTATAGAGTATAGTCCAAAGTAGAATGGGAAAAAATATTATAGTATATAAAATCTTTCTGATGTTGGCTGCAAAAGCGTAAATTTTTCTTTTGACCTCTACAGACAGCATGGAACCAAAATCATTAAAGCACATTTTATTTATTACTATTAACAATATGCATAACAAATATTTTATGACTGGCAAAGGAGGAACCATAAAGAATGGTAACAATAATGGCCATTCCCTAAACTGCCTGGCAAGCTCTTGGGATTCTCCCAGGGGTCCTGTTATTTCAACATTCTTTCCAACTTTGGACAAGAAGAAGATAAAATGTGGACAATAAAACAGACTCTTAAACTTCCAAGCTTGCTTTTCAGTTGACTAAACATGTTTAAGCAGTGCCTTCTGGTATTCCGAATAAAGGATCCCTACATGAACTCAAATTATAATGAGTTGAAGACTGATTAGGTTTCATTTGGAACTTTATGGTCAGAGCTCCTACATAAATAGTGCTTCTATGTAGTATTCCTGATTAAGGGCTCTATTTAAGTTTATTTATTTTTTTGCATTGTGATAGGCACAGTGGTTCAAGCTCCACATACACTGTAATCCATTGACAGCACAAAGCGCTTTTCATTAAAAATGTTCAGTATATCAGGGCTCATTTTTGTTTTTTAATTCTTTGCTTGTAACTCTTTCCTCTAGCACAGGCACAGGCAACCTTCGGCACTCCAGATGTTTTGGACTACACCTCCCATGATGCTTTGCCAGAGCATTATGGGGGCTGTAGTCCACAACATCTGGAGTGCCGAAGCTTGCCTACCCCTGCAGTCTAGCGAGAATGAAAACACAATTAACAAAGTCAAAAACATTACACAATAATGACATCACAAATATGTGGGCTTTCCTAGCAAACAAAGAGATATGTATTGTGAGATTTATCTAAAGGAACCTGAGTAGGTTCATATCTGGAGAGCATCCATGTTAGAGTCCTGAGTAATTACACAAGGGTCTATCAGGGATTATATTGAAAACACATATATGATGTGAAGTTACATATAGATTTTTTTCAGCTAGCAATCTATCCCTTCCATTCTATTCTAGATACATTATATTAAATATTTTAGTATAATTATAGCCAGTTCCTCTACACTGTAAACTCATCTTCGTGGAATACTCTTTACGTCTTGTTTCCAATCTCCAAAATGTAATTGACAGTATGACATATTATGTATATCTAGGTATGTCTGGAGGCAGTCTGAATAGAAAGTGAGCAAACTAATTCCTTCATTTATAAAATATTTCAAACATCATAAAACCTTATCTATATGGCATTGCAAAGTCGATGGACCATTGCTGAAGAAGAATATGAGTCAGTAACAAGTGCTTTTGTAAATGAAACATTTTCTTTGTAATAATGGCAATGACTAAATCACTATGCTAATTCCAGTAAGCTCTAGAGACTCTGAGGTTAGTTAGCAGAGTTTTTAATGTGTAGTTCATTTTAAATAATAGATCTATATAGTACACTTCTGGAGTCAACATGAAACAGATGTTTAAGGGTTTGATACTGTTAGTACTCCCACAATCTAGCCCCAAACTAAAACTGACATTTCTCAACAATCATGGTTATAGACATGTTGACATGAGCATGATATTGAGATTCTCCATGTAGGCGTGGGGGCTTCAGCCCTCACAAAAAAAAATCCCTTTTGTGTTTGATGTAGCAGAGATTAATGCCTTTATCTTGTGAAGCTGTTTATCATCAAAGCTCCTCATGCCAAGTCATAGTGAGTAGATATCCTAACCTGGAAGTGACTGCAAGTGCATTGTCTCGAAAACATGCTTCTGTCTAGCAGATACATGGCTAGGTTCCAGAAACACCTGAAGCTTCAGCCCAAAGGAAAACTTGATGACCTCTACTCTAACCAAGGGGTAGAGATATGTCATGACTTATCTCTGCATTTCTACAACTTATTTACATCTCCACTTAAATAAGTGCTTTAATGTGTACCTCTTCTCTACCCAAACGTATCCTCTCTATCCATGAACAGCATGTTGCTTATGCTCTTTAGGATATCAATGGTCGGAAACAAGCACATACTGCACAGCCAGATATTCAGCATTCAAGATCCATCACTCTCTCACTAAACACCAGCTTCAAAGCTCAGAAAACGTTATAGTTTTCTAAAAGACTTTGGCAAAAATCATGGGGATTTAGTTGCAGTATATGATCATACATTGTATAAGCCTGCCAGAACACCAATCTTTGGCAGGTCCTATTTAAACAACGTAATGCCTGCTCTTATCAGATTCACTCACTTATTTAGGAAATCCACTAGGGGCGATCTCTAGTGCAATGTTTAAT